CCGCCTTGGCCTCCCAAAGTGCTGGCATTAAGCCATGAGCCACCATACCTGGCTGATTTTCATATTTTTAGAAATTGAAGAAACAAAAATTTTTGAGATAAATTCAGTGTAGCCTAAGTGTACAGTGTTTCTAGAGTCTACGGTAGTGTAATGTCCTAGGCTTTCACATTCACTCACCACTCACTGACTCATCCAGAGCAACTTCCGGTCCTGCAAGCTCTGTTCACGGATAAATGTTCCATACAGGTGTGTGTATATATATATATATTTTTTTTTTTGAGACTAGTTTCGCACTTGTTGCTCAGGCTAGAGTTCGATGGCGTGATGATGGCGCGATCTCAGCTCACTGCAACCTCTGCTGCCCGGGTTCAAGTGATTCTCCTGCCTCAGCCTCCCAAGTAGCTGGGATTACAGGCATGTGCCATCATGCCTGGCTAATTTTGTATTTTTAGTAAAGACGGGGTTTCTCCATGTTGGTCAGGCTGGTCTCGAACTCTTGACCTCAAGTGATCCACCTGCCTTGGCCTCCCAAAGCGCTGGGATTATAGGTGTGAGCCACTGTGCTCAGCCAATTTTTGTATTTTCAGTAGAGACCGGGTTTTAACCTGTTGGCCAGGCTGGTCACAAACTCCTAACCTCAAGTGATCCACCCACCTCGGCCTCCCAAAGTGCTGGGATTACAAGCGTAAGCCACCGTGCCAGGACTAAAAATCTTTTATACTCGGTTTTTACTTTTTCTATGTTTAGATACACAAATACTTACCACTGTGTTAAATTCCCTACAGTGTTTAGTACAGTAACATACTGTACAGGTCTGTAGCCTAGGTGTGCAGTAGGCTAGACCATCCAGGTTTGTGTAAGTATACTTTATGATGTTCGCATAACAAAATCACTTCACATTGCACTTACCATAACATATCCCTGCCATTAAGTGATAAATGACTGTACTTTTAGCATTTCCTTGTTTTTACAGACATTCTATGCACACACTTTGATTTTAAAATTGGATAAAGATATTACATTTTTCCATCAAAGGGAAAAAACAACATGACTTTTTATTTGTAAGACTGTGGGCCGGGCGCGGTGGCTCAAGCCTGTAATCCCAGTACTTTGGGAGGCCGAGGCAGGCGGATCACGAGGTCAGGAGATCGAGACCATCCTGGCTAACACAGTGAAACCCCGTCTCTACGAAAAAATACAAAAAGCTAGCCGGGCGAGGTGGCGGGCGCCTGTAGTCCCAGCTACTCGGGAGGCTGAGGCAGGAGAATGGCGTAAACCCGGGAGGCGGAGCTTGTAGTGAACTGAGATGGTGCCACTGCACTCCAGCCCGGGCGACAGAGCGAGACTCCGTCTCAAAAAAAAAAAAAAAAAAGACTGTGAAATGATCTTTTTTCGTGCTCCTCAACTCCCCTCAAAAGTTTTTTCATTCTTTCCCATTGTTTGAAATTTCTGAAAATAACCTAGAAAAGAGTGATGCTATAGTTTTGGTTTTTTTTTTTTTTGAGACAGAATCTCACTCTGTCACCCAGGCTGGAGTGCAGTGATTATTTTTATATATTTTAAATAAAATAGATCTTTAAACAAGATTTATGATCCTTTTGAAGATAATTTATGACATACTAGAGTGCTTTAAAACCTAGGCTGGAAATAATGACATCTGTTCCCAAAACTTTCCTATTAAAAATGTGCTGGACACCTGGAATGCTGATAATTCAATAAATAATGCCTACTAGGTTCATTATGCATAGTTCATTTGCCTTCGTAGTAACTTAACTCCTGAGATTGGTCTGTAAGTTGCATTTTCCCCAATATTTGGGAATAATGACAACAATATAGAATAACTAACAACAAAAAACAAGCATGCAGCTTTTTTCATTTTTTAAAAATTTTTAATTAATTAATTAATTTATTTATTTATAAGACAGAGTCTCACTCTATCACCCAGGCTAGAGCTCAGTGGTGGGTTCTCGGTTCACTGCAACCTCTACCTCCCGGGTTCAAGTGATTCTCCTGCCTTAGCCTCCGAGTAGCTGGGATTATAGGCATGCACCAACATGCCTGGCTAATTTTCATATTTTTAGTAGAGACAGGGTTTCACTATGTTGGTCAGGCTGGTCTCAAACTCTTAACCTCAAGTGATCTGCCCGCCTCAGCCTCCCAAAGTGCTGGAATTACAGGTGTGAGCTACCATGCCCAGGCTAATTCTTTTCTGTAAGTAGCTTTTGAGACAGGTCCTTGCTCTGTTGCCCAGGTTGGAGTACAGTGGCGTGATTACAGCTCACTGCAGCCTCAACCTCCTGGGCTCAAGCAATCCTCCCACCTCAGCCTCCTGAGTAGCTGGAATCACAGGTGTGTGTCACCATACCCGGCTAATTTTTCTATTTTTTTTTTTTTGAGAGACGGAGTCTCACTCTGTCACCCAGGCTGGAGTGCAGTGGTGCGATCTCGGCTCATTGCAAGTTCCACCTCCAGATTCACGCCATTCTCCTGCCTCAGTCTCCTGAGGATTACAGGCGTCTGCCACCACGCCCGGCTAATTTTTTGTATTTTTAGTAGAGACGAGGTTTCCCCATGTTGGCCAGGATGGTCTCGATCTCCTGACCTTGTGATCCGCCCACCTTGGCCTCTCAAAGTGCTGAGACTACAGGCGTGAGCCACCGCACCTGGCCGATTTTTCTATTTTTTGTAGAGATAGGGTCTCGCTATGTTGCCCAGGCCTAACGTGCTTCTTCATCACAGGCACTCAGCAGCACAAAGAAGACTCTCGTCCTGAATCATTTCCCTTCCCCCAAATGAAACCTTGCTTCTTACCTCGTGACTGTAAGAGGCGGGGTTTCCGAGATGAATGTTTGAAGTGGGACTGGGTGGCCTCGTGATGAAGGTCAAAGCTCGAGGACTCCTGAACTGGATCCAGAGGCACCATCCCCCTTGCGAGCATCTCAGGTCCATGAACTTGACCTGGGACCTGAAGACAGACAGGTTGGGCTTGTGGGTAAATCACTCTGTAAATGTGAACTACAATATTTAAAAACAGACCATGAGTATGCCAGTGGATGCAGGGAGAAAGACAGAACATTTTTTAGACAGAGTAACCACCTAATGACCTAAAGACTGCCAATATTTTTGGCTCCACTTTCAACGTCTGTGCCCTGCTCACACATAACAGGTTTCACCTCCTTTTACCTGTTGTCCTGATAAATCAAGCTCCAAGTCTTCTAGAAGGGTCACAGCCTCCTCTCCACTATCGGGGCGGTATTCCTGCAGCCAGACCTGGAGCTCCTTGGGCAGGATGGAAAGAAACTGCTCCAGCACCAGCAGCTCCAGGATCTGCTCCTTGGTATTGATTTCTGGCCGCAGCCACTGATGACAAAGTTCCTTCAGTCGACTGAGAGCCTCTCGGGGTCCAAAAGTGTTCTGGTAACAGAAGCGCCTGAAGCGTTGACGGAATATCTCCGGGTCTGGAGGAGGCGTGTCCTGTAGGCTAGAATCCTGCCCCCACACGTGGTCTTCCTCATCTTCCTCTTCCACCTTCACTATTACAATACCATCCTTCTCCTGTGCAGCCTGTGGGGATAGACCCGTGGCTTCCCGTGATTCAGCAGTCATCATTCAGGCTCCAGGAACTGACTTGATCCAAACAGGGTCTGTGCTCACCTTTATGTCCTGGGAGGTTTTATGATGTGTTTCTGTACTATTCCTGAAGTATAAAAAAAAAGTCATTAGTATATACCTTTACAAAAAGTGATCTGTGCTGCTAACACTTCATAGGAGGCAATACATTGAAGCACTATCAGAAGGCTCCTGCGGCCAGGGGTGGTGGCTCACGCCTGTAATCCCAGCACTCTGGGAGGCCGAGGCAGGCAGTTCGAGACCAGCCTGGCCAACATGGTGAAACTCCATCTCTACTAAAAATACAAAACTTAGCCGGGTGTGGTGGCGGGTGCCTGTAATCCCAGCTACTTGGGAAGCTGAGGCAGGAGAATTGCTTGAACCCAGGAGGCAGAGGTTGTAGTGAGCCGAGATTATGCCACTGTATTCCCTGCCTGGGAGACAAGAAGTTAAACTCTGTCAAAAAAAAAAAAAAAAAAAAGTCCTAAAAAATAGAGGAAAAAACTACAGTCTCCACTGTCACTTCATATATCAAGAATTGCAAACAGAAACCTCAAACAGGCCAACTCCACCCTCAGGGTGTTTGCCTGGAGTCAGAGTGATTTACCTGCAGGTGGACAGCAGGTTATGAAACAGAGCACTGACAGTGCCCAGCCCAGAGAGCTGAATGTTAACAGAGTGCCAGGTGTCAGGCTTAAAGCAGTACATGCACCATCTTCTTTTGTCCCCACAACAGCCCTAGCAGGTCGGCCAAACTGTTAAGTGCCATTTTACAGATGACATAACTGGGGTTAGGTTTGCTCAGTAGCAGGTGGCTGCCTACTGGAGTCAATATTCAACCAAATTTGAAGCCCTGTACTTTTGTACCATCCAGCTACTTTTACTATTTTTATGGGTGCCTTGGGCAGTCTAAATTGTGGTTTCCAAAATACAAGATGATCTGCAAGGGATACAGAAAGAAAATAATCAGAATGTCTGTATCTTAAAAGTGAGAGAAATTAAGCCATATTTAACATACAAATTGACACTAATACTCTTACTTAGTCTGTGCTGACCTGTCACAGGTGTTGTTCATTTTAGACACTGTGATGTAGCCCGGTTTATCTGAGACCAGTTATGTGAAATAATGGATTTCTAAATCTAGCTTTGGCCGGGCGCGGTGGCTCACGCCTGTTAATCCCAGCACTTTGGGAGCCCAAGGCGGGTGGATCACAAGGTCAGGAGATTGAGACCATCCTGGTGAACATGGTGAAACCCTGTCTCTACTAAAAATACAAAAATTAGCTGGGCATGGTGGCGCACACCTGTAGTCCCAGCTACTTGGGAGGCTGAGGAATGATAATCACTTGAACCCCGGAGGCTGAGGTTGCAGTGAGCCAAGATCGTGCCACTGCACTCCGTCCTGGCCACAGAGCGAGACTCTGTCTCAAAACAAGAAAAAAGAAAAAAAAAATCCACCTTTAACTAATCTTACTCTCATAAAAGAGACAAGCAGCTTTAAAGATTCTTGTGGCCAGATGTGGTGGCTCATGCCTATAATTCCAGCCCTTTGGGAGGATGAGGCAGGAGGATGCTTGAGGCCAGGAGTTTGAGACCAGCCTGGGCAACACAGCAAGACCCTGTCTCTGTGAAAAAGAAAAAAAATTAGCTGGGCATGGGGACCATGTCTGCAGTCACAGCTACTTAGGAGGCTAAGATGGGAGGATTGCGTGAGACCAGAAGTTTGAGATTGCAGTCAGCTAAGATGACGCCACTGCATTCCAGCCTGGGTGACAGAGCAAGGCCCTATTAGGAAAAGAAAAAAAAAAAAAAAAAGATTCTTGTAGAGAAACCGCAATTGCAGGACATACTAGTAATATAAACAGACGTGAACAACAAGAAAATGGCACAGATGAAGCTTCTATCTAGAGCAACGTTTTGGCCACATTAGGAGGTAAAAACCAATGTCAATCTAAATCAAAGAAAAAGTCACCAATGAGTGAGAAAGTAGCTTCTTTTAAAAAAAGTGTGAAGAAAGAGCAATTACAAGAACAGCTGTATGAAATGGTTCCATTGTTATGTAATTTAACTGCCAAAAATGATATCAAGTATCCAGGAAAAACCCATCTATGTTCACATTTTAGGAACTTGGGACTGGGTGAAGTGGCTCATGCCTATAATCCCAGCACTTTGGGAGGCTGAGGCAGGGGAGCGGGGGTCACCTGCGGTCAGGAGTTCAAGACCAGCCTGGCCATCATCGTGAAACCTCGTCTCTACTAAAAATACAAAAAATTAACTGGGCATGGTGGCAGGTGCCTGTAACCCCAGCTATTTGAGAGGCTGAGGCAGGAGAATCACTTGAACCCAGGAGGTCGAGGTTGCAGTAAGCTGAGATCGCGCCACTGCACTCCAGCCTGGGCAACATAGTGAGACTAGGAAATATTTTCTAACCTGTTTAAAAATCTTTCAAATGAAGAATTTCAGGTGGGTCTTAAGCCTATTTGTTAAAAATATAAAATGCCACCACCTGATTAGTTTGTAAGAATATACACTTTGAATTTCAACAACAAAAATTTAGCATGTTTGATGGGTTGGATCAATCACAAGTTACTAAGCAGAACTGACACTGATTCTTCCATTTGAAGCTACAAATCTTTCTGAATTTATCTTTTTCACCTCTACAGCCATCAAAACTAAGCATCAAATTGAAGTTTCAGAAACAGACAATTCGACTGCTTTATCATGATGAGTTAAATCAAGAGTTTTAAACTAGCAAAAGCATTTTTAGTTATATGGCTCTCACTAACCATATTCTTAATTTTGGTGAAAAGGGGATTGTGTACATATAACAGCACAAAAATAATCTCTTTTTTTTTTAACGGAGTCTTGCTTTATCGCCCAGGCTGGAGTGCAATGGCATGATTTCAGCTCACCGCAACCTCCACCTCTTGGGTTCAAGTGATTCTCCTGCCTCAGCCTCCCGAGTAGCTGGGATTACATGCACTAACCACCATGCCCGGCTAATTTTTGTACTTTTAGTAGAGACAGCGTTTCATCATGTTGCCCAGGCTGGTCTCAAATTCCTGGCCTCAAGTGATCCACCTGCCTCGGCCTCCCAAAGTGCTGGGATTACAGGCCATACTTATTTTTTTTATCTAGTTCCATGAAGTCCAGCTTCCTTTCTTTGGCTCCCTGCCTTCATTTTCTCCCTTCTCTACCATGATCCACCTCTCAGATTATTCTTTCTAAAACTCTACGTCCTTGTAGTCAATATTCTCCAGTGCCCGGTCCCAACTTCCCCTCAAGCTTCTTTTCCCATCAATCCCCCCATAAACCTTCACTATGCAACAAAAGCACTCTCATCAGTATTTCCTACATATGCCTTGTATTTTGACTGCCATCCTTTCCTCACATCACACTCCACGCCTGGGACTTCCCACCGAGTCCTCTCTGCCTTTTCAAATCCTATTTATCCTTTAAAGCTAAGCTAAAACACCACTTGCCTCTCCTCACTGTTCAACAACCCTCTCATAAGTATAACAGTAAGAGCTAACGTTTCCTGAGTGCTTTCTAGGTACCGGGTATTTAAGCATTTTCACGGCCGGGCGCGGTGGCTCAAGCCTGTAATCCCAGCACTTTGGGAGGCCGAGACGGGCAGATCACAAGGTCAGGAGATCGAGACCATCCTGGCTAACATGGTGAAACCCCGTCTCTACTAAAAATACAAAAAACTAGCCGGGCGAGGTGGCGGGCGCCTGTAGTCCCAGCTACTCGGGAGGCTGAGGCAGGAGAATGGCGTAAACCCGGGAGGCGGAGCTTGCAGTGAGCTGAGATCCGACCACTGCACTCCGGCCTGGGCGACAGAGCGAGACTCCATCTCAAAAAAAAAAAAAAAATTAAGCATTTTCACTTGACCACATAACAATCTTAGGAGGTAGCTACACTTATCTCACTATGTAAAGAACTGAGAGGCTCAACGCAGTGGCTCATGCCTGTCATCCCAGCACTTTGGGAGGCCAAGGCAGGAAGATAACCTGAGGTCAGGAGTTCACGACCAGCCTGGATAACATAAAGAAACCCTGTCTTTACTAAAAATACAAAAATTAGCCAGGTGTGGTGGTGCATGCCTGTAGTCCCAGCTACTTGGGAGGCTGAGGCAGGAGAGTCGCTTGAACCTGGGAGGCAGAGGCTGCACTGAGTCAAGATTGCACCATTGCACTCCAGCCTGGTCAACAGAGCGAGACTCCATCTCAAAAAAAAAATAATAATAATAAAAATAAATGAGGTATACTGCCATTAAATAACCTACCCAAGGTCACCCAGCAAGTACATAGTAGAGGCAGAATTTGAAATAAAAGTGACTCCCCAATTTAAACTCTTTAACCATGATACAAAATTTATCTTGTACCTAACATGTGGGGTATACAGATCCTAAAATGAAGGCCTATGAAGCTGACGATGAAGAATCAATCAGGGCCAGGTGCGGTGGCTCACGCCTGTAATCCCAGCACTTTGGGAGGCCCAGGAGAGTGGATCACCTAGGCTCAGGAGCTTGAGGCCAGCCTGGCCAACATGGAGAAACCCCGTCTCTACTAAAAATAGAAAAAATAGCTGGGTGCGTGGCACATGCCTGTTAAGCTCAGCTACTCGGGAGGCTGAGGCAGGAGAATCACTTGAACCTGGGAGATGGAGGTTGCCGTGAACCGAGATCGTGCCACTGCACTCCAGCCTGGATGACAGAGCGAGACTCTTTCTCGAAGAAAAAAAATAAAAAATCACTCAGGAACGGGGCTCATCTACCACCCAGTTTTCACTGGAGGGTCACTATGTGACTGAAGCCCTTCCTGGGAAACGGAGGAGACACAGCAGAAGATTCAAGTGGGGACTGTGTACAACATAACCAGGTGGGATCTTCAAACATGGTAACTGAGCAGAACTAGTGTGACAGCGAGTCCAGCCACCAGAAATCCCTACTTCTGTGCAAGTTTTATCCTGCCTCAGCTATTGAGCAGAACATTTCTTGGGTCAGTGGGAATCAACAGGACACAACTCTAAGGAGGATATGAGTCCGGGGGAAATAGACACAGATACTGGCACATTCCCTCTGCCCCCAACTGGGATAGGTCGTCCTCCTCACCCTCAGTATCTCTCTGCTCCTACTCTGGGGTCCAGGGAAGACCCATGACAGCAGTGGAAAGGCTGGGTTTTATCTTAGGTTTGCCAGATGATCTGAGCACACAGTCTTCCCTACTGTCTCTAAAATGCCCTAATACTCTTCACCAAACATTTGCTAGGTAATTTCTCACGGTGTTTCTTTCTAATTTTTCTTACCTTCTTCCTCAACTAGATTATCAAGAACATGCCTCTTTGTACTTCTTAGACCACTTAGCATGATTCCTTGCAAGCCTGTTTTAAAAATACCCTTGACTGAATTGCCAATGTTACTTTTTTTTTTTTTGAGATGGAGTCTTGCTCTGTTACCCAGGCTGGAGTGCAGTGGCCTGATTTCGGCTCACTGTAAGCTCCGCCTTCCAGGTTCATGCCATTCTCCTGCCTCAGCCTCCTGAGTAGCTGGGACTACAGGCGCCCGCCACCATGCCCAGCTAATTTTTTTGTATTTTTAGTAGAGACGAGGTTTCACCGTGTTAGCCAGGATGGTCTCGATCTTCTGACCTCGTGCCTCCCAAAGTGCTGGGATTACAGGCGTGAGCCACTGCACCCGGCCAAATTTTTTTTTTTTTTTTTTGTATTTTTAGTAGGGATGGGGTTTCACCATATTAGCCAAGATGGTCTCGATCTCCTGACCTCATGATCCGCCCGCCTCAGTCTCCCAAAATGCTGTGATTACAGGCTTGAGCCACCGTGCCTGGCCCAATGTTACTATTTTTTAAAAGCCCGTTCATTCTACATTCCATGTTGCCCTCAAATTTGTTCCATGGGCTAGCTGGATGAGTTTCAGGTTAGCATTAAAGCTGCTCCACCCCTTACTAGTTGACGACCTTAGGCAAGTCAACAAGTTAACCTCTCTATGCGTCAGTTTCCTGATCTGTATAATGGGAGTAAAAATCAGCATTTGTCCCATAGAGTTGCTGTGAGGATTAAATGAGGTAATAGATATAAAGCACTTAAAATAGTGCCTGGCATTTACTAGGCACTACAGAAATGTCTTATTTTTTTTCAGTAAGCTTAAAAGATGTAACTGTACATTCCAATTTTCAGCCTGCACATTCCAATTTTCAGATTAAGCAATGGGACAACTCCGGTAATAGTGAAAGCTGCACAGGCGTCAATAACTGAATTCTAGTCTCCCACAATAAGTGGCACATTCCTGAGTGAGGTATTTAACTTCTCTGGCATTTTGTATCCTTATCAGTCAAATGGGGGTAGGGTGGGGGTTCCAGATAGTAGGAAACTACCTCTGGGTCAATATGGGCTGAAAACCATACTGACATACCATCCACTTTAAATAAAATTACCCCCAGCAGCTAAGGATACCCCAGTTCTCACCTAGGATAAACAGAAATGATTTTCTTTTTTTTTTTTTTTTTTTTTTGAGACTGAGTCTGGCTCTGTCGCCCAGGCTGGAGTGCAGTGGCCGGATCTCAGCTCACTGCAAGCTCTGCCTCCCGGGTTTACGCCAT